CAAGGGGGAGAAGAAGGGGGGAAATGGTGGGGGAAAGGGAGAGAGGCAAACCATGAGAGACTCTTGAACGCTGACAAAAACTGAGGACGGATAGATGTGGGGGGGAGGAGGGATGGGCATGGAGGAGGGCACTTGTGGGGATGAGCACTGAGTGTTATGCGGAAACTAATTTGACAATAAACTATTTGAAAAAAAAAAGAAAAAAAAAGCTAGATTTCTTTGAGGGTTATACTTAAAAAATCTAAAAACACTGATTTAAGGGGAGCCTGGCTTGCTCAGTTAGTAGAGTATGCAACTCTTGATCTCAGGGTTCTGGGTTAAAGCCTGACACTGGGTGTTCAAATGACCTAAAAATAAAACCTTAAAATACTTTCATAAAACCACTGACTTAATATAACAGAAGGATTTTATTATTTCATTAGAATTATAACCATAGGCAACTTGATGACCTTAACTACAACAGTTTAACAGTATTTAGATAAGAATGGAGGAAAGATCATTTTGTTATGGACAAACTCTAGAAACTCCTATTTGGAAAGGTATAGAGAGATTCTTGCTCTAAAGCAAATATATTTTAGTTGTAAGGACTTCACTTCAAATATGTATCAGAATCTCATTATGCTAAAAGCAAAAAGACTGCATATCTAACAATTCCTGAGTGCTTTTGCTGACAACTTCATAATTCTGAAATCAGAGAAGTGGTAAGTGTTTGAAGCATAAATCTGTATGTGAAAGAGAACAGAGATTTCATTCACCTTGTTATGGGCTGAATTACGTGTCCCCATCAAATTTATATGTTGAAGTCCTAACCCCCAGAATATAACTATATTTGGAAATATGCCTTTTAAGGAGTAATTAAGATGGGGTCATTGCGAGGCACCTGGGTGGCTCTATAGGCGACTCCTGATTTTGGCTCAGATCATGATCTCACAGTTGTGAGATCAAGCTCTGTGTCAGGCTCCGCACTGAGCATACAGCCTGCTTGAGATTCTGCCTCTCTCTGCCCCTCCCCCACCTCTCAAAATAAACATTTTTAAAAATGAATACAACCAAATAAAATAAAATAAAATGGGATCATTAGGGTAGGCCCTAATCCAATTATGACTGGTGTTCTTAAGAAGAGGAGACTACAAACACAGACAATACAAAGGACTGAGGGGCAACTATGGGAGAACATAGTAATAAGGCAGCCATCCAAGTCAAGGAGAAAGGTCTCAGAAGAAATCAACCTGCTAATGTCCTGATCTTGGACTTCTAGCTTCCAAGCTGTAAAAAAATTTCTGTTGTTTAAGCTACCCAGTCTCTGGTATTGTGTTAGGGCAATCCTAGCAAACTACTACTTACACCTTATATTCACAAATTAACAACCTATGTTTGGTTTACCTAAATACTCTCATGACTAATTTATACAAAATTAAGAATACATATTAAAACTTGTTAGTAATATAAAAATATAAAAACAGGTCAGTGATGGGTAACCTGGCAAGCACCCAGAACCATTGATCCTAGACATCTTAATAGTAAACAAAAGAGAGAAAAAGTAGGGTGATACAAAGAGAGCACATTTCAAAGTCAGGCTCCTGAGATAGGCATGAAAACTATGTTAGACACCTTAGAAAGGACTACAGCTCAAAAGAGAAAGCAGGAAGGCCTGTCTAAAGAGTTCAATTATAGTTCAACATACCTTTTTTTAAAATGTTTATTTTTGAGAGAGAGTGCAAGTGGGGGAGGGGCAGAGAGAGAGAGGTAGACAGAGGATCCCAAGCAGACTCTGCACTGACAGCAGAGCACCCAATGTGAGGCCTCAAATCTACAAATTGTGAGATCATGACCTGAGCAGAAGTTGGACTGACTGAGCCACCCAGGCACCCTGCCACATTATTTAAAAGTTCAAAAGCTGACAAAATGAAAGAAATCAAAGAAACAAAAGAGGCAGCAATAAACATTAGCTGCCAACCCCCACCCAAATTTTGAAAAAGAGAACACTGTACTCAAGATACTGAACATAAGCAAGCACTTTATAGATTCTCAATGAAACTTTAGACTATATTATCAAAAAGATGATTTAATGACAATGAAATAAGAAATAATGATTAAAAGCCAATATAAGCTCAGCAGAAATAATACATGACAAACTAATCATTTAATTTACTTCTAACATAAGGGTTAGCAGACTGGCGGGGGGGGGGGAATGTACCTTGATTTTAGCAAGACATTCCAATACTAATTTTCATAATAACCTTATAGAATATAATTTAAAAATCTGGAATGAATAAGAGTACAATTAATTTTTGGCTGTAGGAAAACTCTTCTCCCCCCAAAATGAGTGAATAAGACATTAGTTTGCAAACAGGTTTTTAGTGGCCCTATCTTATTAACATCTGTTATTTTTAATTTAACATCTTTAAGGAGACATTAATAAAAAATTCAAGATTTTAGTTTAAAAAGAAAGAAACTTAACAAATTTCTGTAGGAAACCCCTGGGTGTGTAGTTGACATGGGTAAAAATTTGCTAACTAACAAAGACAGATCTTACTACTAAAGGAGAAAAAAAGCATGATATGCTATGCTATGATGCCACATTAATAGGAAGAATGCCTAGGGTGCTTGGCTGACTTCGTCAGAGGAGTATCTGACTTCAGCTCATCTCACAGTTGGAGCCCCCATCAGGCTCAGTGCTGTCAGTGCTGAGCCAGGTTCAGATCTTCTGCACACCCCTCCCCCCGCCGCCCCTTCCCCACTGGCACTCTCAAAAATAAATAAACATTAGGGGCAACTGGGTGGCTCAGTTGGTTAAGCGTCCGACTTTAGCTCAGGTCATGATCTCGTAGCTTGTGGGTTCAAGCTCCGCATTGGGCTCTGTGCTGACAGCTCAGAGCCTGGAGCCTTCTTCCGATTCTGTCTGTCTGTCTGTCTGTCTCTCTCCCCCTCCTCCTTCCCCTCTCCCTCTCTCTGGCCTTCTCCCACTCATGATCTCTCAAATAAAATTTTTTTTAAATAAATAATAAACAAACATTAAAAAAATAAATAAAAGAATGCCCAGATCAAAAATATATGAACAGGGGTGCTTGGATGGCTCATTCGGTTAAGCATGTTACTCTTGATTTTGTTTGGCTCAGGTCATGATCCTAGGCTCCTGGGATTGGGCCCCCTGTTGGGCTCTGTGCTGACAATGGAGTACCTGCTTATGATTCTCTCTCTTCCTCTGCCCCTCTCCCCAGCTCACACAATCTATCTCTCTCTAAAAAGAAAGAGAGAGAGAGAGAGAGAGAGGAAGGAAGGAAGGAAGGAAGGAAGGAAGGAAGGAAGGAAGGAAAAAAATATCAAGAGAAGTCGGAAGACATAGGAAAAACCTATCTTTCTATCAAGTTTCTTTATTTTTTAACCAAAAGCTTGGATTATTAATGTCTACATTAAATACACACAATGAGTGATAATAACAATATCTATTTAAAGAGTGCATTAAAATTTCTCAAACTGCTTTTTCTGTTTACCATCAAATGTAAAAACAACTCTGAGACAAACAAAGCAGTTAGAAATAGTCCCATTTTACTGTCTTCTTAAGGTTCAGAGGAGTAAATGAGTTTCCTCAGTTCATTCAAGTTGGTCCAGAGTACGAATGTGGAGCATGTGACTCCTCGTCAGTGTCTTTTTAACAACTTTTTTCTATCTCTTTAATAAGTAATACATTTTCATTGTACAAGTGTTAAAAATCAGAGAAATCATCTCCTTAAACAATGTATTAAGAATAAGAAAATTTGACTTTTCTTTGAAATTAAAAAAAAGGAAAAGAAAAACTCACATAAAATAAGGAAAAATTTTTGCTTTTCATAATACTATGCTGAAAAAACAAGGTGAAGTGGGTCAGTTAAATAGAATAAATAATATTTTCTTAAATGGCCATTATCTAATTTTCATGTTACTACTCTTAAAATAACACCAAAATGTAGACATTTCCTTAATCTACTAGCAATATTAAGATTTCTCCTCTTTGCATGCTTAAAGAAAACAACCTAAACTTCAATTTTAAGTACAAGGTAAAACCATTACCTTGGGTGTGCTTCCTTTAATGAATTTTTTAATTGAAGACAACAAGCCAGTTTCATTTTTCGGTGTTTTTTCTCCCCCAGAAGGTAGGCTATCATCAACCTCTGAATATTTCCTCTTTGCTCTAGCAGTGCGTTGTGTTTGGATTTGATTTGACTGCTGAGAAGCTTTCCGTGTTCTCAGCCTCATCTTTTATGGGTGCCACATATAAAACTACAAGAGAAAAATAACAAGGGTTATTAAAATTAAACCTACTGTGGTCAAATGTGCCCACCTTATATTATAAAAACCCTTTGGTGCAAGTCTCCAGGAGATTAAATTAAGAAACCATAACTTTAAGTGAAAGGATGCTTTGAACTTTTACACACTATCCCAAGTAACCTTCCCAACAACTTCTGAATTATTTTACCCTATGATATAATAAAAATACGAGTAACAACAAAGAGTGTGCATACTCTTTCCATAGAACTATGCAACCTCCACCCGTGCCAATATTATCATTCATTCAATCATTCAGTCAAGAAATATTTATTGAGCACTTACGACATTCAAGGCACTGGGCTAGGTTAAGCACCTCATAAACAGTAAACAACAGGGGCGCCTGGGTGGCTCAGTCGGTTAAGCGTCCGACTTCGGCTCACGTCATGATCTCACGGTTCGTGGGTTCGAGCCCCGCATCGGGTTCTGTGCTGACAGCTCAGAGCCTGGAGCCTGTTTCAGATTCTGTGTCTCCCTCTCTCTCTGTCCCTCCCCCACTCGTGCTCTCTCTCTGTCTCAAAAATAAATAAAAAACAAAAAAAAGTTTTTTTAAATTAAAAAAACAAACAAACCAAAAACAGTAAACAACATACATAAGGTTTCTGTCATCTGGAGCTCACAATGTAGTGGGAAAACCCTCAATGAATGAATGAATTACCAGAGCATGATTCTAATGATCAACAATCACGCAAATGTAAAAAGAGTAGTTGGATCATTCAATTTATAAGATCATTTGATCTTGCCACACATGATACTTTAAAAATTGAATTCACATGAGAAAGAAATTATGAGGCAATCTACTTGAACTCTCTCACTTTATAGATGAGAAAATTAATGGCTGACAAAACTATATCAAGACACAAAGGTAGTTAATAACATACCCTAAATTAGAATCTGAAATAGAATATAAAAATTACCAAACTAAGAAATGTGAATTCCAATCCTACTTCGATCACTGCTAAACTATAGTCACTTAACTGTGTTTTTTTTTTACTCATGTAAAGAATACATTCATCTTACCATCTTGAGCTTCAAAATTAAAAAGGTATTAGAAAAGACTATAAACTGCAGAGAACGTCAATGCTACTCACAATAGTGACTTCATTCACAGAAAATCTAACTCCATTTAAGCATTCTCAACTCATAAAGATGCCAAAAATCCTGGCAAAGGGTAGTCTTCACCAACAAATTAAGAAGCATAAGACACTGTGTCTTTACGAAACCAGCAGAACAGTCACAGAAAAAATGTTAGAAACTTTTAGCAAGTTATACGTACACACACATACACACATCATCTACTCCAACAAAAAACCCCAAACTCAAGGGATTCACCAGTGAGGTCCCTAGATACCTTTACAAACAACTATTTTTTTCCCTATCAGCAAATGGTGCTCAGTTTTATGCTGCCATCCCAAAATAAAAAATGCTGCCTTCTTCCCTGAAGAGTCAATGTTAACTTCTAAAGTGATTTAGCATTCAATGCATGTATTATTTACTTTAAAACCTTATTTAGAGTACATAAATGATGTCTTAATGCCTTAATTCTTCAGCAAAGCACTCCTTAGAAAAGGAAAGTTCCCATATAGCAAATCAAGGGGGAATTCTGAAAACTTATTTTTAATAAATTTCTGTAATTTTTTTTGTAATTTTTTAAATTAGAGACAGAGCAAGCAGGGGAGGGGCAGAGACAGAAGTAGAGAGATCATCTTAAAGCAGGCTCCACGCCCAGCACAAAACCCCATGTAGGGTTCAATCCCATGACACTGGGACCATGATCCAAGTGTAAATCAAGAGTTGGATGCTTAACCAACTGAGCCACCCAGATCTGTTCTCAGCTTTTTTTGTTCTTTAATGTTATTTTTAATGTTACTTTTTTTTTTTTTTTTTGAGAAAGTGAGAGAGAGAGAGAGAGATTAAGAATCCAAAGCAGGCTCTAGGCTCTGAGCTGTCAGCACAGAGTCTGACACAGGGATTGAACTCCTGAACTGTGAAATCATGACCTGAGCTAAAGTTGGCAGCTCAATCAACTGAGCCACCCAGGAGCCCTTTCTTGGGTATTTTTGGGGGGAAAAATTTTTTTTTCAGTTACAGAGGGGCTCCTGGGTGGCCCAGTGGGTCATGATCTCAGTCATGAGACTGAGCCTTCTGGCCCTTCCGCCCCCTCCTCCCCCATCTAGGCTCCTCACTGGGAGTGGAGCTTAAGATTCTCCCTCTCCCATCCAAGTACTAACCAGGCCCGACCCTGCTTAGTAGATTCTCCCTCTCAAACAAACAAGAAAAACACCTTAGAATGAATCTATCTTAAACCCAGAATCATTAAATGGGAATTATAACATCTTATGAAACAATACACTAATGTAAAGTAGGTCTTAAAAGACTAAAAGCATATAGGCTAAGCCCAGTCTTAAAAAGTTTGGCTCATTAAAACTGAAATACTTATTGGCCACCTGCTACTAAAATGTTAAGGATGAAAACTATAATCTCTACACATGAGGATCATAGTCTGGCAGATAAATATATATATCATAGTATATATATAAAATGCTAGATCACTCCACATGATGAAGAGTGAAGATGGTTCTCAGAATGCTTAGGAGAAAGGTCCTTTGAACTCAAAAATAACCAGTGGGTATTTATTAGAATGAAAGATAAGAGCATTTAAAGAAAGAGCTGAAATGCAGAAGGTTTTGGTCCATTCCAATAGTGAATTGTAAAAGATGTATTTAATAGGTCTAAAAGGGCTGGAACAGTCAAGCCCTCAAGAGCTTTCAAAAGTTCTATCAGACTACTCAGGCAACACATGAAGAAAACACATACTTTTCAATTTCTCATGAAACACTTACCAACAGACCATATGCTGAGACATAAAACAAGTCTAAATAAATTTAAAGAAAAATCTTACAAGGTTATGTTCTCTGACCACAATAGAAATCAAAAACAAAAATCTTAAAAAGTTCCAAATACTTGAAAATTTAAAAATATATAATAAATCATGAGTCAAGAGGAGGAAGAAGAGGAGGAGAAGAAAAAGAAAACCACAAGAGAAATAAAAAATTTTGGACTAAAAAATAACAAAGAGCACATCAAAATGTCTGGGATATAATAAGCCGCATTTAGAGGGAATTATAAACATATATGTACCTAACACCAGAGTCTCAAAATATACTCAGTAAAAACTGTCAAACAAAAGTGAAAAATAGACAATTCAAAATTAATAGATATTTCAATATCTACTTTCAGTAATGGATAGAGCAACTAGACAAAAGATCAATAAGGAAATAGAAGACATGAACAATTGTCTAGACTTAAGAGATACATATGGAACATTCTACCTCACAACAGCACAATACATAATATTCTCTAAGACAGACTACATGTCAGGACATAATAAGTCACAATAAGCTTAAAAGAATTTAAATCATACATGTATATGGTCTCCAACTACATTGGAATGAAAGAATCACAAGGAAAGAAACTTGAGAAATTAACAAATATGCAGAAATTAAACAACAAACTCCTAAATATGTAAGCACTGTGTCAAAGAAAAAATCACAAGGAAAATTAGAAAATGTTTGTTCAGGGTGAAACAACAAAACCACAACATACCAAAACACCAACAAATTAGATAACCTAGAAGAAATGGATTAATTTCTATAAAGACACAAGCAAAATGGGCTCAAGAAAAGAAAATCCAATAGACTCAAAAATTCAAAAACAAGAGACTGCATTAGTGATAATTTCTTTAAGAACATCCCACAGAGGAAAATCCAATTTTAATGGCTTCACTGGTGAATTTTACCAAATATTTGAAGAATTAACACCAAACCTTCTCAAACTCTTCCTTATTGAGGAATACCTCCCACTCAATCTATGAGATCAGCATTACTCTGACACCAAAATCAAACAAAGACACCAGAAGAAAAGTTAAACTACTAGTCAATATCCTTTAGGAACATAGATGCAAATATCCTCAACAAAATACTAGCAAACCAAATCCAGCAGCTTAATAAAAGGATTACACACCATGACCAAACTGGAATTTATCGCAGGGATGCAATCCTAGTTTAATATATGAAAATCAAGCAATAATATATACACCAAGTTAAAAGAATAAAGGAAAAATTCCATATGATCTCAACTGATGCAGAAAAAAAGCATTTGACCATCCCCAACACCCTTTTCACAATAAAAATACTCAACAAACCAGTAATAGAAGGGAACTTCTTAAACCTGAGAAAAGGCAGCAATGAAAAATCCACAGCTAACATCATATTGCATAATGAAAAACTAAGTGCCTTCCTCTTAAGGTAAAAAATAAAACAAGGATGTCCACTCTCACCACCTCTATTAACTGGCGGTTCATGGCCATAGAATTTAGGCAAGAAAAAGAAATTTTAAAAATTCACATCAGGAAGGAAAAAGTAAAACTATCTCTTCACAAAGGACATAATATTCCAAGAAAAATAACCACAAAAGCAGAAACCATAAAAGCAAAATAGACTCCATAAAAATTTTTTTTTCTTAATGTTTTTATTTATTTTTGAGAGAGAGCAAGACAGAGTGTGAGCAGGAGAGGGACAAAGAAAGAGGGAGACACAGAATTCAAAGCAGGTTCCAGGCTCTAAGCTATCAGCACAGAGCCCGACATGGAACTCAAACTCATAAACCATGAAATCATGACCTGAGCCGAAGTCAGACGCTCAACTGACTGAGCCACCCAGGTGCCCCTAAACTTCATAAAAATTAAAAGACCTGAGAAGACACTTCATAAAAGCTAGATGAATGGCCACAAGCATATGAAATGATGATGCTCAATATAATTCACCATTAGAAGTGCAAGTTAAAATAAAAATAGAATACACCTACTTGAAAGGCAAAAATTAAAAAGACTGACCACAACTGATCACAAAGATGTGGAACAATGAGCACTCTCATAGTCTGCTGGTGGTAATATA